ACTGGTCGTGCTGTGTTGTGTTGTGTTGTGTTGTGTTGTGTTGTGTTGTTGGCGGGTGAGTTTGCAGGCACGAAGATGCGACGGTTGAGACGAATGGGCTGGCGATTGTGCAAGGCATGGTGTTGCGACAGCACTTGATTGCGCTTCTCAAGCACAGAGGCTACGGCCACAAGATTGGAAACATGGTCGCAAAGAACGAACTGGTGCGAAACTTGGATGTGTGTGTGTGTGTGTTGAGTGTCTGCGGCGCGAGTCTTACGCACTCTTCTCTTGAGCAACTCGTGCGGAACGTGTCATAACTCCATGCTGTGTGCGTGTGTGTATGTGTACAGGCGCTGGATGAGCTGACGCAGGATTACCCGCGGTGGCCAAAGATCTCGTCTGTCGACGTGCCCAAGGTAAAACAATCCACAGCAGTAGTAAAGTACACGTGATGATCGATGATGATGATGATGATGATGATGATGATGATGATGATGATGATGATGATGATGATGATGATGATGATGATGATGATGATGATGATGATGATGATGATGACGAGGGGGAACCCTCTACCTGTGCATCGTTATCGAATATCATGCATCATGTCTCTTGCCTCATGTTCTCAACTGCTGCCCATATTCTCTTCGCCACACAGGAGGATTATGACATGTGGATGGACTTGCGCCCATACATGAACCCGAGCCCTTATCTCGTGCAGGCATCATGGTACGCCGCACGTGGCGCAGTGCACATGCCAGCGATGCCCTGCTCACTCTGCAGTCCCAGCAGGCAACAAATTTGCACTCAGTCGCTCACTCACGCGCATCTATCTACACACACACACACACACACATGTCTACAATGACACGCACACATATACAATGACACTTGCACACCTTGTTTGTACACGCACGACCCACTCACGTTTGTACTCAACCGTGCATGTGCACAGCTCGTTGGCAAAAATCTTCCGGCTGTTCCGCACAATGGGACTTCGCCATCTCGTTGTCGTCAACAAGATGAACGAGGTGCTGTGTTGTGCATCGGGCGCTGTGTGTGTGTGTGTGTGTGTGTGTGTGTGTGTCTGTCTGTCTGTCTGTCTGTCTGTCTCTGTCTGTGCCTTTTTGTGTGATTGCGTGTGTGCGTGTGTGTGTGTGATTGTGTGTGTGTGTGTGTGCCATCCTTCTCGTGTACAACACTCTACCACCGCTCCACCACCGCCACTCGCCAGCGACCACCCAAACTCACTAACATCCAACCACTCTTCCCCCTCAACCCCTCGACCATTTGCAGCTGGTGGGCCTCGTCACGCGAAAAGATTTGGCGAACATCACAAACGACATGAAGCGCGAAGACTTCCTGCACTCGCGCCTGTCTGTCCGCCACGTCAAGTACATCATGCCCGAAAACATCACGGATGACGTTGACGCCGTGCTGATTCGCGACAGGGAGGACCATCCTCGCGTGGAGGATCTTGGCCAGAACGGCCCAGACGACTCAATCATGCCCATGAACTAGGACCATCACCACCACATTTTCCGATTGTTGGCACGCAGCTTTTCCTGTTTGTTGTTCGAAGTCGCCTCTTTTCATGTTGCATTCTGCCAACTCCAACACACTGTTTGCACTGCCGTGCTTACACACACACACACACACACACACACACACACACACACACACACACATACGCAGTGCTTG